GTTGTGTGACGGCAGCGCCGGGCGAGGCTCATATTTGTGGAGCCTCGCTTTTTGCCTCTCTAAAACGGTTGTTATGCGCCCGTTTGTCGAGGTAATTAATATAAGCAACGGACTCCGTAATAAGAGGTTAATTACGCGTCTCGGAGATTTTAATTATAGTTCTTATGCTCCGCTAAGAGTATTGATTGTAGATAATCAGAGCAATTGAATCAATTTATAGAGTGGACGTCCATACCGCAGCGGTCGCGGGGATTTTTCTGAATTAGTAATTGGCGAGACAAGAATTAACTAAATCGTAATTGCTTAAGTATAAGAACAAACAGTTCTTAGTATTTATGAGCTATCAGCGAGCTACTTCCTACGAAAATAAACACATCAGGAATGTTATTTTTTCAGGATACACAAGTTAGTACAGGATTGCATGGAGTAAGAACTCAATAGTCTCTGTATCTCTTCGTTTTCTTATGGCAATAAGGGACAAAATCAACGATACTACTAACTGCCTAGGTATCAGTACAAAGTGGTAGATTACGGTACGCTTTTGTCAACTTTATTGGTACAACACATAACATGAAAGTCTGGTTTCAAATGAGTTGTAATACGAACGAGGATTGCGAGCGTTTGAAATTTGATCACGTTGCTAGTTGCTAGTTGATACGACATCAAACACCGGAAGTTTTAACTGTTAGTTAGGTTTGTTGTTGCCGCTTCATTCTAAAAACGGTTTGCACTATCATAAAAAAATGTTTGTGTGATTACATGATATTACGAGTATTCTAAAGTGTGAACTGTGAACTTATCTAGAATGTCTGACGTTATTCGATACAATGCAATTGTTTTATTAGAACATTTACTTTTCTATTTAAGCATTACATTTTTGGAAAAACTAAAGTATAGAAAAACAACAATAAACTAAATAAAAAAACGATATAAATGTGTGCCTTCCACTTAAGGGAAATATAAAAAAACTAACTGAATAGTGTTTTTTCACCAAATAAATAAACTATTAATCCATATAAGTTTGTTTTCTTAAAGGATCACTTTCCGGATTAGCCGTGCCCCTGTACCTGTCCACAATACAGTTTGCGTCCGCGTGCTCTCAAACTGAACGAGATTTTAAACTTTTTTGGGCTAAAGTTTCATTTTAAACTAACAATAGCGAGCAAACGTCGCTTGTTTGTGCGCTCGGGAAAGGTTCGCCCTGTGTCGGCGCACTTAACATTTTTTTGTTAAGGCGAAGACTGCGTTCCTTTTTATCCACTAAAGCATACGACAATGTTTTAAGTAAAAATCTTATTAACCCATCCGTCTCTTTTTTGTACAGAAATAGTATTTCAATATACAATTTGATAAGACAAACGCACTAGCGAATAATTTCATACTATTATTTTAATAATATTTTAGATATTGGTTTCTTAAAACATTAATATGAAGAATTTTAAAGGAAAAGAAAACTAGCAGCACTGTAAACGTCACCTTAACACATATTTGCTCGGGCGCACTCTTTTAGACGTCTTTGGATCACATACAAGGGTTTCTATTGATACAAATACAGATATCGAGTGCCTTTAAACAATAATGTACTCTATCTCAACGCATGAGGGTCGATATTCGATTGCATTTCACTTTACGCGTGTTTGTTTACGTTAGGTAATCCATTGGGCCGCACGATTCTCAGTACTTAGTTGTATTATTTATTTGCTCGAATAAACATTCGATATACGAGCGCTGAATGAAGAATTCTAAAAGGCTCCTTTGTTAGTGATTGTTATATTAACTTGCATACTCAGTTATTCAGGCACAAACATGCGTTCAGAAACTACGCTCCTGTTATAATAAACATTGCGTTCAACATCAGAAGAATGGAAAAGTTGTTTTATTATCCGCTTAATATAAAAATATCTATTTTTTTATACTCACTTACACTGCCAGGTTTTTCAATGATATTTTTTACATTTGCTTCTCTAATCTAGATTAAATTTGGCTTAAAAAAGGACTAACCGTCTAACATTTTCATAATATCTCATGGGTCTATTAAGAAATCTGGCAGTAACAAGATGTCTTTGACTTTTCATCATACAAATTACCATAAGCAACTTGGCTAATTCGTGGAAGTTTCGTAAGTTAAGTAAAAATTCATTTTAAACTTTACTCAATCCGTGCAACAAGTAGTCGATGAAAAAATATTAATTACGGAGGGGCTCCGAAAATAGACTTCCTTTGATCTTCGGACAGTTGACGCGTGTAACAAGAAACTACAAACTTCCAAACAAATCACTTTTCAAA